AGCATATCATAATGGACGAGTATGTCGGGTACAAAGAATGGAAGGAAAAGAAAGGCGAAACGCGGAGGCTGCCAATCAAAACCAGAGAGGATGCGGCCAAGTGGGAGAGATTCGCCGACGTGGCGCGAGGTGGATCAGAGGTCAAATCCAGATGTATCGGTCCTCTGAAAACGGTAGGCCGATACTGGGGCGCAGGCCCTGTCCAGCACTACCAGTTGGCTTCCAAGGGGGTGAGATATTGCGAAGTTATCGGCGCCGCAGCGCGGGAGGTTCGTGATTTGGACGAGGCTGTGACGAAGCTGAACAGGTTGATGCTGCGGCGGTATCTGGCCACCGGGCGGGGGCTGCGTCGACTGCGCGGAGTGGTCAACCCGATCGATCAGGCCGATCTAGTGGATCTAAAGGCCTGGTCGCACCGAAATTCATTCGACAAGGACAAAGACTCTCTTCCGTACCGGAAACTGGCTGCTGCCGATTTGACTCCCGGCTTTGGCTTCGGCAAATTTGGGCTCATGGTGCGGAAGGAGTTTGCTGTCTCGTTGCCCGCCGACTCCGTTGAAGCTGCAGCCGGGGTCGGTGCTGATATCACTGGACGCTCGGGACCCAACGATGCTTGCAACGTCAGCGTGCCGGGGCTTGTTCCCCCGGACGCTAGCCTGGGGGATTCGAACTTCGACCGTACCGTCGAACAGGTCCTTGGTGCTGTCCTTGCACATGAGAAGCCCAAGGGGCTATCTGCCGCCAACGAGAACAGTGAGGACGCTAGCTCCACAGATTGTCATGCCGACACCGCCCATTCCTCTTCTCTGGGTCGCTCCCAGTCGGCAACGCCGTTGAGCTCACCGCCAGGGTCTCCTCTTCCAACCCTTTCCGCTGCCGGAGTCCCGTTCGGGAATGCCGCACGAGGGCTGGCCGACATCAGCCCACCCGCCGATAGCGACGCCGACGCCTGCCGGCTCCCCAAAGATCAATCATTCCGTCAGATTCTTCGCTCACGAGCAACAAGCGCCGACAAGTCGAGTGGCAGAACAGCTATCACACAACGGACCTACCAGCCGCCGTTCCTCGAGGTCTCTTTGGCAGGAACTTTTCCAGATGTGCCTTTGAGGACCTCCAGCGCTTCTGTGAATTTGTTGTCGCGAACGAGCTCGCTCATCCAGCAAGGTCGCCTCGTCGCCCAACAACACCAACAGCAGCGGCCGCAGCAGCAGCTTGGCGGCCAGGCCAAAGCGTAAGGAGTCGACGGCGTGCGAAGCAGTCGCCGCACGTGTTTCCGCGAGCGAGCACAAAGTTGCCCTACAGGTGCGACTCAGCGGTATGGGGGTCGGATGTTGCTGCTGCTGCGGGGGGAGATGAGGAGGATGATGCTGCGTTTGCTGTGGATGCTGGGGATGTTGAGGGTGCTGCAGGTGCTGGGACGGCGGCTGTTGGCTCTGCGGATGCGGCGGGAGCGGCGCAGGATGGCCAAACGGCGTTCCTAGAATGCTGCACCCAGGCGCATTACCCTCCGAGGGCGGTCGCAGGTGGAAGACGTCCACATTTGGATCACTGGCTGGAGGATAATAACTAGGAGAAGGAGGAGGGTGGTCCCCCAAAAGGGGATGCGGTGGCTGATACTCTCTAGGCAAGTTTATGGGGCAGCGAGACTCCATGGTGGGAGCCGGCTGACCAGGAGGGCGGGAACCGGACTCAGGTGGAGGCGTAAGGTCTCGGGACTTGGGAGGTGCGCAAAGGCCTCCTCCGCTGGGCCGGCCAAGTTGGGGCGTTTGAAAAGGTTGAAGCATGCCAGGTGCTGCACGCCGGGTTGGCCGGGAGTGCAGCCATACTGAGGTGGATGTGCTTGGGAGTGTGGTGAGGTGCCACAGGTTTGGAGTGGTTACGGAGATTGGGTGCGTTTTGTCTGGACAATGCGGCTGGACACGGGTATTTGCCGTCACCCGCACGTGGCGGGGGTTCATACTACGTCATGACCGCTGGTGCTTCTTTGACCGACACCAACTCGAACTTGTCGGGGTCGTTGTCATGGGCACGGTTCTAGCCGGGATGGGTGTTTCGTCGTCACTAACGCGCATCGGGATCGGGGCCTTTGCTCCCGGCCGCGAATGTAGGGGGGTCAGATCGTGGCGGGGGCCATGGTAGCCGAAACTCGGATTACCGAAACGCATCACGGCCTCCGTGGGATTCCCAGCTGCTGGAAACAATCCATGCACCGCTTCCACCGGCGGGTGTAGCGGTACGGGGACGCGATGGAGAGGCTTTCCAGTCCCGGGGCACAGCCGCCTCCTTCGACCGCGACAGGATCGCTCCGCGCTTCGGGTTCGCCTTCTGCCTGACGAACACATCCTGGTCCGGCTGGGGAATGGGGATGGCAGAGGGCCTTGGCTAGGTCACTTGGTCCGAAATACACAGCGGTTTATTCTATCACATCGCTTGCCATCGCGAATGCTCTATTGCAGGCCTAAGCCGCTGCTTGATCATTAGAAGGCTCATCTCCACGATCTTCGGACCCCTGTAACCAATCCAGTCCTGCTGGACGAAGGAATTGCTATTCTTCGTGTTAATCTGCAATGTGGTAAAGGATTTTCCCTTGTCGGATCGTCGCTATCGCAGCGATTACCACAGCCTGTGCCGGACTGCATCGGCTGGGCGTCCTGTACGATTGCGGTCCTATGGGTGTGCGGATTTCGAAAAGGCGGAACTCCGCAATCGTGCGCCGCTAGCTCGATCAGTGCTAATACCCAAAGTCGGGAAAGGAAGCGTGAGACATGGCCGAAGAAGACGAAAAAACGATTTCGTGAGAGAGCTGCAATTTGTTGTGGAAACTATTTCCCGATGTTTCCGAATTATGGGGCTTTTTAGCCGCACCCCGCACTCTGTTGTTGCAGCTGGTGGGACGAACCCCGGCCCCAGGGATTGGGCCCTGGCCCCAAAACCTGAGCCACAGGGCCTGGTCCAGCACATCATGGCTGTTCACGTAAGTCCAGGGTCGCAATACTGTTTGGCGTTGTTGTTAGTGCCACCTCATGGCCTTGATCTTTTTGACAGCCTGGTGTTTTCTTTGTCTCAGCTTTAACAGCGTGTGGGCGTTCATTAATCTCTTCCTTCTGTTCCCGGTGAGGTGTTAAGGCATCTCCCGGCAAAGCAGCTTGCCAGTTACGGCTTCTCGCTGCCTCAACCCTGGGTGTTGGAAATGCACGGACGCACGTGCCAAATCTAAGTATGCGGGCGTCATCTATCTCAGTCCAGACTAGCCTGTCATCGACTAATGGCTTGGTCCGGTGTTTCCAAGAGGCGGCAGGGACGTGAGCACAGACGCCACGGGAAAGCGGGATTATCGTGATTGGCCGCTCTGAGAAGCTCGCGTAACAGCCTCGGGGTTCCTGCTGCTTAGACCCAACCGTGGCGTCGACTTGAAATCAGTTGCTTGGTCATTTCCGTGAGGAGCGCTACGGGGCGGACGTCGCAGGTTGTAAAACCCGTTCATGATGGAGAATGGAGACGAATGCACTCCCAGATTTATGGTCGTCAAAGCCAGCCTGCGGATGTCTTGGTTTCCCTCCTTTCCAGTCTCTCATTTTTCTATCAATTCTTCTGCTTCCACCACGCGGGTACATAGCCATCATTTTCTTTATGACTTTGCGAATACATATACGTATTTAATTCATTTGTCTGCGTTTTCTTTCAACTATTGATAACCTTTCGGACAATGCCGCTCGATGCGAGAGCCATCCGGAGCCCTATTTGGCGGCGGCAAGGCAAAGCCAACGGCAACGGCAACGGCAACGGCAACGGCAACGGCAACGGAAATGGGAACGGGAATGGGAATGGGAACGGGAATGGGAGTGGTAACGGCCCTTTTGCCACAAGCCCGGAACAACCCAAAACTACGCAGCCACCAACACCTCCGTCCAAACCACCCAAAACCAACATCGAAGTACCTCTCCTGCCATCGCCAAGTCCGACAGGTATCGTTGTCAAGCCCCAGCCTGCCATGGAATCGGCGCCCCCCGGAACAACAAACGTCCCGGGAACGCCCATGGTAGATGCAGCCACGAACACACCGACAATGCTCGCCAGCGCAAATGTTCCTACGAGCGACGGGGACCCGTCGATGACGCCTAGCCCCAACTTTCTAAAAGTCAATTCGTCGGTGTCGCTCCTGGGGTCCACCACAATTCCCGCCAATACGGCCCCTACGCCAAAGCCGTCTTCGATTCCGAACACCAGCCCGTCCGGCATTGCCGCAGGAACGGCAGCCGGGATAGTAGGTACGGACTTCCGTAGCCAGCTTCTCCCGCCGCGGGGTACACCTATCCGCCGACCTGAAGCTCAAGAGCTAACCACAGATCCGAACAGTCGGTATCATAGTCCTGCTCGCCATCCTCCTCTTCCTACTCTTCAGATGCCGCGGCTCGCGATTCCCCTGCCCCGGTCTCAGTTGGTACGGCCAGGCCAGACAGCAACTTCAAGATCCTAGGTGGCGAAGAGCGCCCGATACCATGGGAGAGTCCCTCCTTATCGCGGCATCAGAAGGCGCAAGAGACGCCGGTGTGCGCTCTCCGAGCCCTCCGCCGCATCCGGACTCAGAAGACGCTCTTAAACCGCCGATCCCTATCCGCATAACGACGGCAAACTCAGGTTTGGCCGTCGACAAATGGGTAGCCAGCATGCTCAGCGAGCAGACAACACCTTCGAGCGGGATTTTTACGCCTAGGCCATCCTGGTGTCCTACAGCCCAGCTGCGACCTCCTCCGCAGACCCACTCCCGCCCCTCCGTCCCCGCCATGAAAGAGCACGCAATGGCGCGGCGGGTGTCCCTCGTTACAGCACCCGCCATCACCAGCCCATCGGACAGCGCGGCGGCCCAGCCTCGGGCCCTATCAGTCCGTAACAGCATGCGGTCCGTCACCTCGTGCTCGACGTGCCTGGCACCAGAGCAGCCGCTGCTGTTTAGGTACGCCGTTCCTACGAACAGCACTCAGACGCCACGGCCGACAGGAGAGGACTCAGGACCCGCCGGCGCCGAGAGAGGCGGCCCCGGCGACCGCGGCACCTCGCACCCTGGGTGGTCGGAATGGTTTTATCCTAACGACAGCGCCGCGGAACGCGAGCCTCAAGAGCAGCGGGCCAGCACGGGCAGCCTTGGCGCTGTGAGCATTGCCAGCAGCGGCGTGCTCACGCCGACTTTGGCGTCCTTTCCAATTTCCACTCGCCCGAGACGCGGATAATCGACGTCGGCGGACTGGGAACTCGGCGGTGTGCTAGTGTGAGGGGTGGCTGGGTAATAGATCAAAGCCAGCCGCCGATGGCCCCGCTTGGGAGGAGGAGGGGGAAATACGGCCGTCGGACGCAAATGATGGTGGCTCGTCGGATTCGGAGAGGACGATGCCGCGTCGACTTATGTCTCTGGATCCAGGCGTCAGCGATCGTCCCAACAGTACTGTCATATTTCGGTTCTCCAGAGCCGTCCCTGCGACGCCGGGCTGGACTTCTGCTCAATCAAAAAGTGAATGGTGCCTAAGGTCCAATCGCTACGGTCTCGATTCCTATTGGCTACCGCCCTTGGCTTCTTGAGCTTGGCAATTTGCGTATGGTCACGTGTCAGCCACCTTTGTCCGTGCCATTGTGAAACCCGACGCCCGTCTATGGGGCCTGAGCCACGCCGCGAGTGAGAGCCTCGACGATGTCCGTCATATTTCCGCCCTACCGTCCATCCTCTATCTGCTATTGTGGATCAGGATGAGCTGCAAAAGGATAGATTTGTGTACGAACTATCCTACGACGGAGGCCGTGAAGGATTGGCTCCCGGCATCCCTGCCCCATGTGTCCAAGGCCGTCCCAAAAAGAATCCATGACTAAGCCATCACGTGCGATGAGCGGACCCACTTTTGGTCATCAGAACCCCTCGCCCGGCTCACTGAGTGGGGTGCTTTTGCGCATCATGGCATCATAATCTGTCATCAGCTCGGTCAGATGCCTTCAGGCGGCAGATGTCCGCATAAACCCGCTCAGCTCTCGCTGCGCCTCCCGCTCGTTCATTCTATGGACCTACCTAGACACGCTTTATTAGAGTGGGTCACCCCCCAATGGGCCACACAATTGACCTAGGGAGACGAGACCACGATCAATCGGACGCCATCAATTCGCAGCCAAACTATATAAAAAAAAATGGAAAATTATGCAGCGTCGTCGTCCAATGCCTTAAGAACCTTGGAGGCCTGTGAGCTGCTAATTTTTCTGACTTTGGCGGCCTGGGTGCTGGCCAACGGACCCCGTGCCTCCTTAACGGCCTGTTAAGCCTCTTTAATCCGTTCTATATCATAAAAAGCCTCTTGGAACGTGCGCTTAATCGTGCGACGGGGTTGGGGTGCCAGTACCTTGATTTTTTCCTTTAAACGCTCGTTTTCTGCCTGTAAAGAGGCCGCCTTTACAGTTTGCATATTAAAAGCTTTAACCGACTTAGTAAACAGCATCCGGAAGTCCCGCTTGCACTCGTTTATACGCCCCTCAAAGCGCCTGGCTTGTTATTTAAGGTCCTGCAAGCCTTAATGTTACGACCACACTCAGGCATGGAAAGGAGGGGCAGGAGGGCTGGGGCGGATGGCAACAACCCCACCTCGCGGCAGGCCTGGAGAGCCAGGTGTCACGGGACCAGGCACTTACCTAAGCAAGAGGTGTGCTATGTCCGATATGTCTCGATAAGTGGCACAGACGACATATCAGACATAGCAGGACATAGCGTAGGCGACATGTCCGATATGTCGCCAAGAGGACATAGCAGACATATCACTGGCAAAGCAAGGAAGGCCTGCTAGGGTATAAGAAAGAAGGATTTCCTACCGTACTAGATAGCTTCGACTGTTGCTCCGGCATCAGTCAACCTAAGTTAGCTCCCAAGTAACCCTTGGAGCAAGCATCCAGACCTGCACCCAAGTTACCCAGTTTACCTCGATTGACCAAACCCAGATACTGCTTGACACCTCCCTAGGGCGCCCTACCTTAGGAGCAGAAGGCCTGTTTGTAACACTTTAACGAATTTTCTAAACGCTTACGATAAGTTAAAAAATTCCAGAAAAAATACATGTTAAAGATTTTGTAAATTATTATTAAATTTTACTTTTTCGTTTATTTTTACAATTTTATTTTGCTGTTTTATTTGCATTTGAAAACTGTCACGATCAGGGCGAGTAGGCTTCGCAGCCAGGTTCAATTGATGCTATGGACGAAAGACTCTTCTATGGGGAGGGAAAAGGGAAAGAGGCGCGGAGCGCCGAACACGCGATGCAGAAGAAAAGGTGGTGCGGCGTCTTGTCGCACGGGCTGTTCCGCGGCGCGTGCTCACGTGGATCCCTGCGCTGTGCGGTGAGCTGCCCGGGCCGTCACAGTAATTATGCGTGCATTTTTCAACTGTGTAATATATTTCCAGCGATGTAATAAACTAGTTAATAAAATAAGAAATACTCGTGCGGGCTAAAAGCGCCTCGCACGAATCGGCCCTCCGGGGATAAAGTGCGGTGGGGCAATTCGTCGTTTTTTTGTGACATATTTTCCCCAGCTAAATTGGCGGGACATGAATGTACCGCCAAAAAAGGAAACCCACAGTGCATATATAAATTAAGGGGAGAGTTTTATTTATTAGCACGGTGCATGGCTAAGATTAAGTATAATTGGCTGCCATCGCGTTTAGTCCCACTTTACACATGGTGCGGAGCACAGTGGGACGACTATTTCCTTTTTTGGTGGTACATTCATGTCCCGCCAATTTAGCTGGGGAAAATATGTCACAAAAAAACGACGAATTGCCCCAAAAAAGACGAATTGCCCCAAAAACGACGAATTGCCCCAAAAACGACGAATTGCCCCACCGCACTTTATCCCCGGAGGGCCGATTCGTGCGAGGCGCTTTTAGCCCGCACAAGTAACCCGAATAACGTAGTCCACAAGCGAGTCGCGCACATAAGCGAGTCGCGCACATAAGCGAGTCGCGCACCCACACCCGACCTCCGGTTAATCGACGCGCATGCCAACCGAACAATGCCAGGAATCCATTCAAACTATTCGGAACTGTATATATCGGACATTTCTACTTCTTCCTGACAGGTGCGCGCATTGTGTCCGGTTTTGCCGCACGTGCCATATCGCCGACGAGTCGTCGTCGCCCTCCTTTCCTAACCCCCATGGTCGCGCATTTTTTGCTGTAGCTGTCCATCCAGCTCCTCCTGATCCAAAACACCTCGTATCTTTTCGACAGTATGTAACCCTCCTTGTCGGACACGTGTTTTTTTGGCCCTCCGGCGTTTGCTTAGCGCCTCGTTCGCCTTTCGTAGCTTGGAGCA